TCCTCAGAATTGGAAATAAACATTAATCTGACTTATTTCAAATATAATTGCCTGTCAGATTTGATCTGTAAAACACTTTGTGCTATGTAACTCGCTTAATACAAGTGTCTATAATCGATCAAAAATATGCAACATTAAGTGAAGTTCGTCCACAACCCAATTTTGAATAGGAATCATTGAAAATAATGGAGGATCTCTATGTCCAGATATATTCAAATAGTTTTTATTTATATCTTCAATGTTTTTGCTGATAGTCCAATTGTCTTGTTTACTGTTTGTTTTAAATATACCAGTACCATTTTGGGATTTGCTAATCAAGCACCAAAGACAAAAGTTTATACTATTTGCTGACTTGTGTCCTAAGCATATACTTAAAAATTTTCAATCCACAGAGATATATAATTTAATTTTATATTTATATCCATTTTTATCAATAAATTCATCTTTAATTTCGTGTAATTCTTTTATTAATAGATCTAATATAATATGTAATGTATCATAACTTTCTACACCAGGATAAATAAGTAATGCAAAGTGTGAATCAGACTTGAAAATATTCATTTTATTTAAAATGGTAAAAGTTATCATTATATGTTTAATTTTTTTCCTACATTCTAGCCATCACCAGAAATACGAATATGAAGTGTCGATTCTGAATAACTAAGTTTACCTTTTTCAATCATTGAAGGTATAATAAAGTTTAACACATCTTTAATAGAACGTGTTGCTCCTTTTCCTATTGAGTTTTCTACTTCATCAATGATTTCAGGATCTATAATATGTGCATCAAGCTCATTATCCAGTTGATCCTCAAATAATAAATATGAGTCGAAATGAATTAAAGAAATTGGAATATTTTTATTCATTATATTATTTATTTGATACAGTCTTTTATAAATAGTTTTTTCACGTAGTAAGTCTTGACATAAAGCTGCTAAAGCTTGATATGACAATCTTGATATTTTATTATAATCTATAGCCTGTATTATAGCTGTTTGACAGGTTATTTCATCATTTTCTTTAGGTTGATATATAATTCGAAAATTCGAATTATTTACTATAAACCTTAATTCATTAATAGTAACTTTATCTTTTAATATGAATCATTGCATTATTTGATCTTTGAAATTGTATATAAGACTTCTACCAAAATTTTTATTTCTAATAATTTGCATTTGATTTGTTATCTCAGAAAATGGCCTGATGCTTCTTGGTCTTTTTTAACTATAACGTACTAATCTAATTTGTGATAGCTGTAATCCAAATAAGTAAATTCCATTTATCTTATTATTCGGTATTGGTTGCTGAAACTAATTATAAATAAAAATTAATAAAACTTAAATAAATAAATAAAATAAAAGAAATTATTTATATTGAAATAAAAATTACATCTATGCCTTTAATTTCTTTTTCTTCATTTGCAATCATTTCATTATAGGCTTTTAAATAAGCATTTGCTACAGCCGAAAGTGAAAGATCTGAAAATACATGCTTATATCCGAATTCTATTATATATAGAGGTTTTTCATCATAATAACGAATAAAGCATGTAATAGTTTTTTTATTTTTTCTATAAGTTGTTTCCACAACGTAATCATCAGGAATTGGATAACTATTTGGTTTTTTTAGTATATGATTCAGGTAGATATGTGCCTTCTTTTACAATGTAATATTGAAAACTTCTTCATGATGATTTCCATTTAATAGTATGATCTACAGGATAATTTGAGTTTTCTTCACCTATTTCCTTCATTTTATTTATGTATGTATTTGTAATAATTTAAAATCTAATTAAAAAAAAGTATATTTATATTGACTATTTTTATGACATACGTAGCAGATGCTATACTACTGTAATCATATGCATAGTGATAGTGATTGATCAGATTGAAAAGTCAAATGAATTGACTCACCATCGGTGATCAAAAATTTCAAAATTTGGAGTATTTCATAAATTCGCTGTAATGATTAGTTTAATTAAAATATTACAATAATCTACAGTAATTCTATAGTAGATATGAAAATATATGATTGTTGATTGATTGTTATATGTAATTGATTTTAATACTGAATATACAGTAACAAAATATAA